AACATAATTTACAAAGTTAATTACCCGACTAATTTCGACGTACCTCATGCATCACTTTCAAGTGTATACTGATATACATGGTATGTCGAAATTAGTCGGGTAATTAACTTTGTAAATTATGTTTGAACTTACTTTTAAAGGGGAAAATTAGTCCAAGTTATCTATTTGTAAATGTGTTTATGGATTTGCTAGTACAAAAAATTTCCGAATCTATGCAAGCATTTTGTAGAGGGCTTTGTCATTTGTTTGGAATAAAATATAAGTTCATAGACTCTTGATTTTAAATTAGGTTCAAGTTTAAATTAGTAGGAATTTAGTGCAGGAGGCTGATATTAATAGATTTAACATTGTTTTGCGTATAATTAACGATAACTTAAGGTGAGATAATTCGTTTGTAAATATTTTTTTGTTTGATCGATTTCTCATGAATTCAGTAATTACTATGCTGTGTGCACTAGTCAGTACATAGTACTGTGAATGTAATAAAGTTCGACTGCAGCTTTCAACTCGTGAACTAAAAAAATAAAATTTGACTTAAATTTCAAAATTTAGATTTGAGTTAAACTAAAGAGAATTAAGTAGTTTATGTAACTTCAGTTTTGTTTAGAAAGAATTCACCATTACATTCTTTGAAACAGCTTAAGTCTTGAGGTCAAAAATTTATTCGGTTAAAGTTAACCTTAAATTTAAAATGGGTAAAATTTCAAAATATTCACTGGTATTAGTACTAAACTCTACAGTAGTATTTTAATTTTCCGTTTTTTACGTCCTAGTAAATATAGTAACGTAGTTTTAGATTGTCTTAAGTTTGATTGTTAGGTGTTATGGGGTGAGAGGTTTTTTCTTCTTATATTTGAGGGTTGTAAAGAATATTTAATGGTGACTAAGGACATTTTTTGAAATATCATTTTCGATTTGATTGCAGTTTTCTGTCCTTTTGGAGTCAATGAACGTTATATAGGTGAGTGTCAGTTGCAGGGTATTTACGGGACATTGAAAATGTGCATAAATTGTTCAGTCTCTTCATTGGTCTTGTGTTCGTAGCTTTCACCCAATCTGGTTATGTATACATCTGAATTTTGCAATTTGAAAATATTTGTAATGTGTTTGTTTCTGCAGTAAGTCTATAGACTAAGTCAGTGGTTATCAATTTGTTCAGATTGCAGACCCCTTCATCAAAAATGAAATGAACAGGTATACATCACACATTTTTAGTTGTCACTTTAGTTAAATTTTTTTATGGTCTGGCATACGAGTGTTGACTGTACTACTTTTAATTTAATCACATTATTCATTGCAGCAAATAATCTGTATGGTAACTTTTCTTGAATCTTTTCTGATCCCCAGGATATCTTCCATATATCCATCTGGGGCACTCTACCAGTTTTATAACAACTGTGTTAAATTACAGTGTATGAAATGTATGTACACACACACACACATGTAAGTTTAAGCAGAATAGTAAAAAAGCTCTTATTTTTCTTCACCAAAAATAGTTTTTTTAGGTGTGGAGAAGATTTAAGGTACTTTTACTATACAGTTAATTATTGTTTAACATTTAATAATTTAAGAACAAACAGGGTAACAGAATATTATTCTGCCCATGGAATTTACTCCTCCAGATAGAGCTGGGCAATTAGTTGATGCCTTCATTAATCAAGTCCGTTTGATTAATTCATTAGTATACACCCTCCCCCATACAAAAAAAAGAAAAAAGTGGATGCGAGCTGCCTTCATAACATTTTCATCCACTGTATTTTTCTAACATGATATTAACTTTCATATCTTCATTCACATTTTATTAAAAAGTAATTTTTAAATTAAAGAGGCCAACACTTGTGGGTGAATGAAACATGTCTCTGCTATGCAATTCCAACATGGCCAATTTTGATGCTAGACAAATTGTAAGCTCTCTTCCCCCCCCCCAAAAAAAAGACTAAAACTGAGCAAATCCAACCTTTTTGCATGACAGTGTGTTCTGTGCATAAAAATTGATATTTGTGCCAATTTTCATATTTGTTGTTGTAAATATGACTGCACAGGAAGCCAAAATATATATATTTTGGAGTGTTTGACCTTTCAACTTATAAAAATCCTTAAAAAAACCCTAAATAAAAAAAAAAAAGTGAACAAATTTTGTTTGGGCATATTAGACTAAGGTATAACCCAACCAAGTTTCAAGTCAATTTGCTGACAAATGAAGGAATGGTGGTTAATTGAAAAGCATTTGGAAGAAGAAAGAAAATAGAAACAGCATGTTTCCTTGCAGAGACATAATTACCCTTAGTTTCATATCACACACCTCTTTTGAAGTTTGCTATTTAAGCATTTTCTGAAACACATTTTTTTTTTTATCTGTGAAATATTTTGCTTAAGTTTTTTTTAGATAATCTGGACATTTTTTCCCACTTGACAAATGAATCAGTAATGATGACTAAATGCCATTGCACAGTCACCATTCTGTTCATTTTTAAAATATGCAGTAATCCCACACTGATCTTTTATAAATCAAGTAAATTTATAAATAATGAAAATGTTTTACTATTACCAATTAGGATAATAATATTTTTATTTAAAATATAGTACAACTGCAGTTAGAAATAATTAAGTAACCAATTAACCAGTATATTTATGTACATTGTTTGGCTAGGGTAAACATAGAAATAGTCAATAAAGACTTGAATCATCATACTATTTGGTGAACAAGGTAAAAATATGTATTAAAAACTAAAAGCACCATAACTTTAAATGAAGAACCAAACATCAAAAAGATACCTTTATTAAGCCTTAAGCAATCTCCAGTTTGTAGTCTGTGAATATACCCATGTCTAGGTAAACTACTTGTACCTAATGATGATAAAGTCTTCTCCAAACATAGTACACTTGTTACTTTGTTAAATTTGTAATAAGTTTTTTCATTAGCAATTAAACCCATCTCTAAACTGTATAAGCTTACCTTATCTGATGTTTTCTCATTGCAGAAAATTTCTGTAGCTTTCAAAAAGATATAATTCAACACACAAATACTTTCACAATTCATTCACATATTCCAATCATGTTTAAACTTTCTTTATAGCTGCTTTAAAAGCTAAGTGTAATTTGTAAATGATCAGATCATAGACTTTATGTATGCTAGTTGAGGCCATGTATATTGACTCTATGGATTAAACCACTTAACATGGCATGTTTCAACCAAGGTCTGTTAAAAAACTTGGGGAAATGTTTGAAAATCAAAAAATGGATAATATATCCGTAAGGGGTGATAGCTTCTTAGCAAAGATAAATATTCTTTGGGTTGTTCGAAAAATGTATAGAAAAACAACAGGGAATCCTCAATAGCCATGGCACTTGAAGTTCATTTAGGCAGGATTACAGTAAATCTATAAGACCTTTTTTTCTTTTTTACTAGCTATATTTTTGTGCACCAACAATAACAAGCATGGGTGGGGGGTGTATATCCAATTCAGTGTCATTACTCATCAGGATCTTTACCAGCCTACCCTCAAATTGAAATTCTTCTAGGCAGGAATAGAGTAAATTGGTCAAATACATCAATTGAAAGGGTTTGACCTGCGGAATTCAAAATTGTAATTAGATCTCAAGTTGGTCAAGAGATTATGGAGCTATGAGCTAAAAGTTTGTACTTTTAAAAAAAACAACAAAAAAACTCAGAGCTGTTCTATGAACTGTTATGTTGTGGCTAAAAATTGACAAGAGGGTTATTTTGTGTAAAGGCAAAACTCTGCAGCTGTGCGGAAATAAAACTTTTTTTAACAATCACATGAAAGAAACGTCAGAAAATGACAAAATATTGATTCTGAAATGTGTATGTGTATTAAAATATAATTAGAATCAACATGGAAAATTGACTTTGAAATTTGTCTTAAAAAAGGTTGTGGCAAAAAATATGCAAATCCAAAAGAAACCCTGTCTTAATACTCCAGGCACAATGATTCAGAATTAAGTTAGTTTTTAATCCTACACTTTATACATGAAAATGTATTGTACAGGAAATCCAACTGCATTGTTTAACATTTGTAAATAATAAGATATTTATTTACTTATCAGTCACCTGTTGCAACAATACTGTGGACACTTTTCCAGACTTGTTATGCTAGATAATTCAATATTGTTTTACATGTTTGTAAGCATGTTTACAACAAGTGTTTGGACCTTAATTATATTCTTCTATCTATAACTATACAGTTACACAAAAGCTTTGTAACCAAACAAGGGAAATACATAATTATAACTAATTTTATTTCTTAAGCAAACAGGCATGTAGCCAAAGAAAAACCTAGTATTTTTGGATATTCTTCAAGTAGACTATATTTAAATTCAAACAACATGAAAATTTGAATAACATAAATTTATTTTGTAAAATAAACGTTTCAATAGTCATAAATTTATCTTAGAGTTTGAAAACCATTAGGGAATGAACAAGAATAAAACTAAGTTTATTCAGATAATATAGTAGTATTGTGTTAAAAGTAACAACAATGATTAACTTCTCCACAGTTGCTGCAGTAAGGTTTCATTATTACAATGATGGTATGATACAAATTAACATTTTAAAAGTTAGCTGTATAATATTGTAACCAAATTTTCATATTTTATATATGAAAGAAGAGACTTTTACTTGATAATATGGTATTTTGAATTAATCATTGTCAATCATATGGTCCTAAAATAATCTAAGTAAGTCAGAGTTAAAATAACATTTTATTCTGTAAATGATTAGCTCAATCAAGTTATAATCCACCAATAACAAAGCTAATATCTTTATTTCTAGTAATGTGGTTGATATGGAAATAAAAACAAACATTTCGAGTTTTTTAATTGAAGTTAAATAGTTATAATTATTCATAATGGTATTAAGAAAAACAAAATATGGTAAACAGGGTGCCTGTTTTTGAAATTTGTTTTAAAAAGTTCATTAATTATAAAATGATACCACTTGCATTTTCATTTGTTTTAGACACCAAATATATGAAAAATTTCTTTCTCAGTGGAATTTTAATTTATAAACAATGAAAAATCAATTTTGTAAGTTTATGTCATAAAAGCTGCAGGTGTCCTTAACAGTACTAAAAAAACAAATATCTAAAGTCTAGACACATTATCATAGTGCCTGGGAAGGTATAAATATTTACCGTTTCAAAATTTAAATAACCCTCACATTGTTGTATTAGCTTACAAATAATCAGTTATTGACTGAGGTTTTAAGTATGCTGACTTCAGGAAATCTCAAAACAAGCTTTTATGGTAATTAATAGACCAGTCAAAAACACTGACAACTAGTGTTTATTTTTGATACTATATGGTAGTGTAATTACATCTGGCTGTTCTTTTTTTTTTTATATCAATTTCTTTAAAAAATGGAGAGGGATTCACATGACCACTAGACCTGCACCTACTTATCTAACATTAAATAATACAGTTGTTAAGTTCTGGAAAAATGGGTGGAAGGGGTTTGCCCCCCCCCCCCCCCCTACGATCCATGTCTACTTATACAACATTAAAGAATAGTTATGGTCTATACCCTTCAGACCCCTCATTAGCTCTTTGCCGGCTTTTACATCATTAAAGAATATAGCTATTAATTTCTGGAAAACAAATAGATGGGTGGGGTCCAAACTCCCTGGATCCTTTTCAGCTCATACAACATTAAGTATTATAAATAATCAATTATAAATAAGAAAAATAACTCAATATAAAAAAACACAGTATCACTTAGTGTCTTGTAAACTAACTGATCAATCAAAATTACAATTAATCAGTTAATGTCACGGATATAATCAACTAATCGAAATTAGTTTCCATTTATTTACTGTTTTCAATTATTCCAACTATTCAAGTAGTTAAAATATTGCCATTGAGGTGTGATTTCTGTTGCAACTGAATTTGCTTATCCTGTCTTTGTTATCGTAAAACTACTAAGGATATCTGTAACTAGTTTTGAACTGCTGACTAGAGGGAAGGCAACTGTGACAGCAACCACCACCAACTCTCTGGTTACTTAAAGTATTAAATAATGTAAATTTGTAATCATTACTCACAAGTGATCAGTTTTTGATTAATTGATAAATTTGCCCAGTTCTACTTCCAGACACTAACAATCAACTGAAACTAAATGTAGCCCTTGTTACCATAAAAAACAGCATGTGCCATATCAGTTGGCAAACTTTTTTTACAGTTGTATTTCATAACACTGAAGTAATTCTGCCAAAGATCAGTGCTTGTAATACATGGAATAAGTACCTCAAATATAAGTGTTTTAACTGGAAACTTTATTATCCACTTATATAAACATACTTCCTAAATTCAAAGCTTCTTTATTCAAGATTATAAAACTGTATTATTTCTGAAAGTAGATCTTAGAACTCTTGCTTACTCTTTTTCACTGAAGCTCAAAATTTAACTCATTTATAATTTTTTTTTCAATGACACCACTGTTTCTCTTACACAAGACGTTATTTTCAAATATCTAAACCTGAAGTGTATCAATTTATACTTCTTTGATATCAAAACTCATTTTATACGTTATTCAGGCCTTCCTGAATAAGAGAAATATTTGTAATCAGCTCTTCCAGTACCATTGTGGATCAGTGGTAAGTTTGTGGACATATAGTGCAAAAATATGAGGTTTGGTTCCCATGGTGGACATAGTGCAACTAGCCCATTGTGTAGCTTAGCAGTAAAAACAACAGCAGCAGGTCTTCCCAGAATCTTACTTTAGTATTTGTAATAAATTTTAAAATTATATAATTAAAAAGAAGTTACAGAAATTCAAAGTAATGTAATGGACTTTTTTTTTTATCCAAAGGAATTTTTCAAAAGGCTACTAAATAGTATGTATTTTTTTTAGAAGTAACATTTATTTTAAGGTAAATATATGCAGGATATGTGTTTAAAACAAAAACATAAATACAAAGCATTGGTTATGTAATTTTTTGTTGTTTTACATGTGTTTTTAAATGTTTTTGTGAAATATTCCTGTTTGATGGCAAATAAATGGGCTTTTAATTGAGTTAGAGGAATGTGTACAAATGTTATAATATGAAATTAGCAAAAGAAATAGATAAATTATATGTTAAACTTAATAACTTATTCCACTTTGGCTTGAATCATTAGAAGAATTATTGTATATTTAAGATCAAAATGGAGAAATACAATATATTCGTTTTTATGATGAAACAATTTGAGAAATTTTTTTGGGAGGAATTAAAGATCTACATATAACTAATTTCATCATGATATATTTCATGTCACCTTTGATTTTAGTGGAAAAAAGGGTTTAAGTGCTTCTTTTTGTTTATATTTGTCTTAAACTGATGTAGCATTCTAACAGTTTAATTTACAAGTTTTAAATCAGAAATTTAGAGTTTGAATGATAGATGTTAGGAAAAATTATACCAAATGTGTATATGTTAACAAGTTAATGTTTTATTTATTGCTATTTCAGTATTAAAACATTATAAAAACTTTCTTTAAATTTGTTATCAAGTAGCTATAAAAAGTTATTATTATACCTTGTTAGAACAACGTTCACACTTTACAGAACAGTATTAAGCTATATATTTCAAGAATGTTTATTGATATTTGGATGATTTGTCACTACACATATATTTTTTGTCTTTTTATTAAATTTTTTTGTTGTAAGAACCAAATTGGTGGGAAAAAGAACATAGTATTATTATTAATTTCCAAGGTGTGAATAATCAATTTAATGTTATGTGCTTCAAGCCTTTTTTTTTAATAAACTGTTGATATAGTGAAATTAATAATTTATTTTTAGGTTATTAGCACATCACTGTTGTTTAATAAGAACTTTCAATATATAAAACTTTAGTGGCTAAAACAGATTAAAAATATAAAGAAAGATTAATGGATACCTATAAACAAAATTTGTATTTTAATTTTCAAATACAGTAATACTTAGTTTTAACAGTTTGCATTAAATATTCTTTATGATATAATAAAATTGTGGTTTTACCTAATATGTTCATCATTAGTTTTTTATTTCTAGATTTCATGAAAAAAAGGCCAAAATTTTAAGTATTTGCCATTGAATGAAGATGGGAGAATATTATCCTTTTTAAAGTAAAGAGGAATGGAATATTAGCATCTGAGCCAAAGTGAGTTGTTTGTAATAAAAATATAAAGTAAGTTTTAATAAGAATAATCACTGATTCTTTACTCCCAACAAAATTTGCAAACTTGTCTTTTCTCTTTATGAACTGAATATCAGTGTCAATACACTTAAGAAGTAGAACAGTTTTATTCATATTTAAACCACATTACTAAAGATAGAGATAACAAATGTTTGTCTGATAGGGATTAACTTAGGTTTTGGAAAGTGTATCTGTTTTGCTTTTAGTATTTCTGCTGAAATGTAGGAAAGATTTGTAGGCTTATATATATATATAAAGGTCATTGTTGAATTTTAATTTTGGAATAAATTTATGGTGTTATAACATTTGTTATCAGAACATAAAATATATACTTTAAAGATTATAATTTTCAATTCTAGTCAAAAGTAGATAAGTTAGATAATTTTGGGGAACATTACACTTGGCCAGGTTTTAAAATATTTCTGTTTGCTGTAACCCAACCGACCATCTGAAATTGGGGCCAACTGAGGGATTTTTTTTACATTGACCTGCAAAATTTTTATTTTCACCAATTTCTGTCAATATACTGACCCATATAACAAAATTTGCTAACTTTAATATTTTTATTGCTATATTATGGTTAGAATATTTCTTCTCAGAAATTCATGTAGTCTGTGACCATGTGGGAGGGTATCACTTGATAACCAGTTGATAGCTCAATGCTGATTGGCCAATGCATTGAGGTTTGACAACATGGCTTATCTCATTTCCAGGACCCTTCATGCTAAATTAATAAATATACAAACTAGCAGAGGAGAATTTACTTTTGAGAAGCATACATCAAAAATATGGCGAACATAAGTTTTCATTGTATCCATCTCCAAAAAATGTTCTTGCAGATTAAAGATCAGGATCAAAAACAAGCTAATTCTGATTGGAAACATATCCATGTGGAGGGAAGTATTTGTAGATTTACTTGGGGAATGAGATGAAATGGAAGAACAAACTGTAAAATTGTCTGCAACAGCCAATTCAACTTTGTCGATCGAGGTTGATATCGACCAGCAAGTGTGTGTTGTGAAAGAATTTGATTAAAATTGCAATATGCTAACATCCTTTTAACTACTTGTATGCATTATGTTCTAGGTGATCACTAGTTGTATTTCTGAAATTTATTTTGCCAAGCAATTTGAAAAAAAATTTTACCTACCTACCCACCCACATTTTAAATCAGTTTAGGGTTACAGCAAACAAAAATATTTTTAAGCCTGCCTCTATTAGAAGTAGAAAATAGCAGATTCAGAGCAAAAATGAATGAATCAAGACAGTTTAAGCAGTTTTAAATTTCTACCAGGATGGTTGGCCTTTGAAATGGGCTGTGTTTATGGGTGGATAAAATGAATTTAAGGGTGTTTAATGGAAGGCTCAAATATTTAAATGATCAGGGTTGAATTTGAGTTTTTTTTTATTTGAAAGTGGTAGCCTCAATGAATCAACATGTCCCATAAATGGTATGTTATTGTCATGTGAGGAATTGGATGGTTTTAGGGTAAATGTTTGTTTGGAGGAGGGTGAACGTGCTGGGTTTACAAGTTGCACAATAGTAAAAAGTTAAGACTAAGAAGGTTCAGTTATCATTCAGGTGTCACCTTACTTGTCTCTAATAGATTTGAACTTAGCCTGCTCCCATTAAGGAACAAGGTCATCAAGTGGTTTAAATAGTAGGGTACTCTTTCATTAGATACATGGATAATTATTTGTAGTGGGAGGCATTAGAAAGACTAGGACTAGAATTTGCTTACTAGGTGCTAAACTGCAGGTTATTACAAAGTTTGTTGAAAGTTTAGTTGCTGGTTCCAAGGAACATTATTTTTCTTTGTAGTGCACGTAGGAGTAAATAAAGTTGGAAAGTGTAAACCAGTAGAGCTGCTTAAAAAGTATAAAGAACTCCTACAGAGGTTTAGGAATGGAAATTGGTGTTGCCCTTTTGGGAATGCTCCCCTGGGTTAAGTACAGAAATAACTCACTTGGCAAGATCCAAGGTGTAAATGAAAGATTATTAAGGGTATGCTTAGAACAACAAGTGGAGTGGTTGGACCTATGAGAAAGTTTTCTAGTTAGTGTAAATTTTATAGGTTAGAAATTGGTTTTACTTAAGCAGGTTAGTTAATAGGGTATTTGGGATACCTAGGAAATTTAAGGTTTAACTAATAATAGTTTAAACAATATTTTTCTCAGATATAAAGATTAAATATAGTAGATTCAAGAATAAGCTTACAGGTAGTTGCTATTATTATGATGACATTGGGAGTATTAAACCAAAAAAATGATTCCAGTAACCTGACCAATCCAGTTTTTTCAATGTGGTTCAAATAGTTTTATTGATTTTTCCTAAAACAATATTTGTGTGAAATGAAAAAAAAAAAGGAATGTTTTAAAAATTATTTAGAATTCTAGAAAATGTGAATAATTGAGCCTGATTGTTAAGTGAAATTGTGAAGAAATCAAAAGCTGGCAATTTAATAACTTGAATAATTCAGTGACCTTTATCTTACTACCATCACTTTGTCTGTGGTGCACATTATATAATATTGACTGCATATGTAGTACTGATGAAATACATTTTGCCCTTAAAATAATATTCATAGAAAATACTCTGTGATTGAAAAACACTGGATCTCATTTTATATTTACTATGCATAATGTTGGAATTCTCCTACACCCATTCATACTGTATTTGGTGATGCACAGCTTTATAGTGAAATGTAAACAACAATGTAGTGTCAATAGTTGTTGTTCAGTGTAGAGAGTTGATTGCATATGATACAGTGAAGATCTACTTGTCAAAAAAAAAGAAAAATAAATATCATTAGTATTGCTAGCTTATATCTTCAAATTTTTAAGATACAAATTATGATATAAAAATCCCATATTCCATGATAAATGCAAGACATCCCAAAATGAGAAACGTGGTCTGATTTTGGTTTCAAATTCAACTTACAAATAAAAAATAATAATCCCTTTCTGCCAATACTACATTATCACAAGACCATTATCAAAAACATACCTTATCTGTTGTTTTTTTTGCCTTTCTAACAAAATGGACAAGTTCAGAGAGTAATTGAAATATTTTGATATAATTGAGATTACTGAAATGGTTAATTTGGAGAATATTCATTATTGAAATTCCAGGTTAATAGTGTTTTAGGATTAAAGATATAAAAAAGTTAGATAAGAGGATAAATGAATGAATAAATAAATAACTTAAAAAAAATTATATATGTGTATGTGTGTGTGTGGCAATTGTTGTAGGCCATCTGGTCAGTGAGAAACTGAATATTGAGATCAAGGTTGCTACTAATAAGAACACATAAATTATGGGATACTGTGATTTTGGACATTGATTGGGATTGGAGTCAAGTAGTGAGGGAAGAGAGATTTTTTGAAGTTATTCAAGAGGGTTTTTCTACACCAAATATTCCAAGAGCCAGTACATGTTTGTGTGTGGAGGTGCCACTTTAAATTTATTGTTAAACACAAGTAAAGATATGATGCAAGAATTCAAGTAGAGGAAAATTTCTGGGTGAGAGATCATTGAATAATTAAGTTTGATGTTTTGCTACATCTTGAGTTAATTGAAGTTTTTGTTTCTAATTTTTAGAAAGCTGGTTTTGAGACTATGAGATAAACTTTATTGTTAATAGACTAGCTGTTAATTTAACATAAACATGTTCCTTAAAAGTAAGATATATAACAGGGAAGATCATACCTAATTGTCTTACAAAATACAAAGGAAAAAATGAACTGCAAATTAATTGACAGATAGGTTAGAGGATTTACCTATGAAAACAAAGGAAATAATGTGAACCACACTACATCTGCTTTAGGCAATGCTGACAGGGCCTTTCATCCAATACCAGAGCTTATCATACATAGCAGTATTTAAGGCACTGTTTATTTTATCAGTTTTGTGAACAACAACAATTGAACTAAATTAAGGAAAGGAATTGTGTTTATTTTCAATGTTATTTATGTCATTTATGAATTACAATTAGGGTAGAGATTAATAACACAGTATTATTTATTTACTTATTTTTAACTGTGGTTATATATTCTTTTTATATTAATTAACTTTACTATCATTCAGAAGAACTGGTGAACCAGCAAGCTAGGGATTTAGTTAAAAATGAGAGTAGAAGATCCACCAAGGCTTGTGAGAAACAGGTGGCTGTTAAAATTAACACCAAGCATTTTTTTAAGTATATTAATTCTACAGTGAAGCAGCAGTATTCACTCTGGCCCAATGGCAAAATTGTACTTTTGAATTAAAAACACTATAGAAAATATTCTTCTTGTTGTTGTTCCAAATATTAAAAAAAGTAAATCTTTGGAGTTTCAATTTAATAAATAAACAGTTTTACTTATTTAGTTTTATACCTAAAAAAAGATATTATGTTGATTTTAGCATATTCCAAGCAAAAACATTATTGTTTGTGAATTTCCCAATTATTTCTGAGCATAATATGGTATACTCATAGCCCTCTGCCCCCCCAGTGGTTCAGTGGTAATTATGCAGACTTATGATGCTAAAATCAGGTTTCAATACCTATAGTGGGCAGAACACAGTCATCTCATTCTGTAGCTTTGCTCTCTAGAAGGAAAGGAATAAAACAGCACCAGTTTGAAACTTGTAACTTCAATAAAAGTGTAGTTTTCTTTATTTTGACCAATCACTGTTTTTTAACCTTGGTTGTTATGATATGATGTAACTGCCATATCTCAGCTTTGAGAATTTTAGACTAAACACAATGAAAGTTATTTTTCTGTTCTTTTTAACTGTGTATGCCAATATGGCTTACAGTTTAGTGGAGACTTGTGTAGAGATTGTAATATAGTGATAAAAGTTTAGCTTGGTGTTATTTTACTAGAAGAAAGGAAGTTTGTTATCAACCTCTGCCACAATTACAGTCTTGATTGTTTGTAAAGATTGATTTATCATTTTATATGTTATTTGAATTATGATG